AAAAAACCTCAAATGAGCTAATTAACACCTGCACCTACATTTACGCGTCAAAAGGAAGCGAGGATGCATTAATGCTTTTAAATTTAGCTAAAGAACTTCGACCGAAATTTACGGCTGCAGGATTTTTCGAGATCAATCAACGTCTCTTGCCAACTTTTTTATCTAACTTGTCAACTTATTTAATTATTATTTTGCAATTTAAATTTTCAGCTTTATAAATTATTAATAAACGACAAATACCTTTGAGTTGTCTTTAATTTTGTAAATAAAATATGTTAAAAGGATAAATTTAATGCTATAATGGGTTGATTAAGTGTGCACCTTTACAGTTTATCCAAAGCACACTTTTGACTAAAATCACAATTAGTCTAGAGCCAACAGGGGGTTGAGTATGCACTTGTATGTCCCCTCAGTACCTTAATATTTTTACTGTACCTGTTATGTTTTTTGGTGTATATATTTTATTTTTCGTAAATACCAGGCTAAAAACCCTTTCATAATTTGTTATTAACAACTTATTTGTTTAAACAATTGTATTTCTTAAACTTTGATCCAGATTCTTTGAACCGAAGTTATAAGTTATAATTTCGTGAAAAATAATTGCAAAATATGCATTCGATGGGGCGTTTCCAATTATAAATTCCTATTAACCTATTAACCTATATACAAGCTTTTATCTAATTTAAACCGCTACTATGTAACCGCAATCTTTTCTTCAATCCCAACTACAGGATGGTTAAATGCTATGTATGGTTCATATTGTTATACGGCATGGAAACATGGACGTTAAGAGTACCTTCATTAATAAGTGGGAGGCCTTGGAAATGTGGACGTTGCGAAGAATGTTCCGCATACCATGGACAGATAGGTTGAGAAACGAGGAAGTCTTAAGAAAGGCAAATACTGAGAGAGAACTACTCAATTTGATCAAGGTTCGAAAAATTGGATACCTCGGCCATATTCTGGGAGGAAAAAAATACGCAATCCATCAACTAATCATCCAAGGGGAGGATTGAAGGCAAGAGAGGAGTAGTTCGCAAATAAACGTCGTGGCTAGGGAACGTAAAGAACTGGACAGGCATAAATAACACTGGCGATCTTTTGCATATCGCAAAAGACAGACGTCTGGCCTTAAGATAATTCTCCAATGCACTATAGCTGCACGGCACTATAGGAAGAAGATTAACCTATTAACCTATTAACTTTCAAAACCTTCTTATTGTAAAGATAATTGTTTATTTGTTTAATTATTATTCATTTAAGTGTTAATTGTTAAACATTAAGAATTTCACAAAAAAGTTGCGAATTAATATTTTTATAAGATATTTAAACAAAATTAAGCTGTAAACTTATGAAAATATGGCCAATAAAAATTAAAGAACAACTTAAAATAAACATTTTTAGCTTTGGTAAATGTTTCAATTTTAATTTTTGGCATTTTTTATTAACGCGCTCTAAGGAGTGCGGTCAGGGAACGTGGTCGCGCAAGTTAATCAATTTTTAATGTCTCAGTAAAAAAAATTAGCATAGAAACGTTTACCAAAGCTTAAGATATTTGTTTTGAATTTTTCTATAACTTCCATTAACGAAATTGCTAATGTTTACGGCTCAATTTTATTTAAAACGCTTATAAACAAATTAATTCACTTCTTTTTAACGAAAATTTTAACTGTAAGTTAATATAACGTTTTTATTTTTAATTATAAAGTAATATCCATCTCTGAATTTTGATGGATTTTACGTATGTATTGGTTTTTATTCGCTGCGAGCTGACCGTGCGTCTCAGAGCGCGATATTAAAAGTTCCGTATCTTGGTCAAAAATTATTAACATAGAAACATTTACCAAAGCTTACAAAGCTTTTTTTAAGGCTGAAATAATTATCTTTAAAATAAAGGTTTTGAAAGTTAATCGCACCTGTGAAAGCTAAGTTATACTTGGAAAAGCTCCATCGAATGCCTATTTTGCAACTGATTTTCACCAAGTTTGTTATAACTCCGATTTTAACAACCGCATCAACTATTGCCAAACGCCGTTTTGATTATTTTTTCAAAAGCGACAATTTTCATTTTGGTAAAATTAAATATCGTTAATAGTTTAGGAGGTACACAATTTAAAAAATTAAATTTTTAATAACAAATTCTCTGACGGGGGTACCCTGTAAAAATCGAATCCACGCACCAAAAAGAAAACATTAAAAAACGGCAAGGTAACCAAGGCACATAAAAGTACATACTGAAACCCCCTTGGCTGCTAAAGTGCAGCCAGGGGGCACTTTAATGAAATAATAGAGGTAGCAAAAAGAATACATGTTTAAAACTCCGCAAGGTATTAACGATATCTATAAAAGAAGACAAGTACCTCAACACTAGGAAACCTCACTCTTTATACCAAATTCTTAAAAAAAGGGAATCAAGAAAATACGAATAAGGCTATATATAGTCACATGTATACTTTTATAAGGCTATATTTAGTCACATGTATACTTTTATAAGCCTATAGAATTTAGGAAAGGCGTGAGTGATGCAGTTTCGGTAAAAAGTATGTAACTCCGGAAACCTTTTTTTGGATGGTGCTAGAAAGGTCACCAATGGAGACACTGCGGACGACAACCAGATGGTTTGTGGAGAGCGAGTCGTGGGTTTGAAACTAGCTTTTGGAACCAGAAATGGGTCCAACGGACGCAATAAGTAGAGATACGACAGGATAAGATGTATTTAAAAAGATACAGAAATAAAACAAAAAGATAGGTGGGTAAAATTGCCAAAGATAAAATATAATAAAAAAAGGCGCTACTTAACTTTTTGGGGTTCAAGGGGAAAATTAAGAAACCTTAGAAACGAAAAGAGATAAGGAAAGATATTTAGGTTCTGAGACGAAATCCAAGGAAAGTAATCAACAATTAATTATCAAATAAATTTTTTCAACACACTACATAAACAAATAATAAATACTTAAACAATATATTTAACAACACAATTAAGTAGGCGGCTAAATGTAAACACAGATGAAAAAACCGTCAATTAATAAATGGTTGTATAAATGGAAATGAACAGTATTTTGATCAAGAAATACCTTTATAGATACAATATAATATAATCATGCACAAATTAAATTATCAGCGAAGAGAGCCTGGTAGTAGGTATTAAAAAAAATCAACTAAGGTTAAAAAAAGAAGTCTCTCCTCGCTGTTTATGGGCTTATCTCGAGATAATGAGTACAGTAAATTTAAAAATGGATAGCGATTATAGTAAATAAAACAAAATTAATTAAATTTAAATTCAAAAGAATACAAAAAGATTACTAGAATTCTATAGTATAAAAATGGAACCAACCCACACTTGGTTGTAAGTTAAATGTCTGTCTCGCACTGTTTTGAGTTTAATTAACTGTTCTTACTGAATTTGAATGTTTGTTATTATTATTTGTGAGAAGTTCTTGATAACTGATTGAAAGTTCGTATGAAAGAATTAAATGTTCTTTTAATTGGATTGATAAATCGTTAGTTAACATTACTACAGTTAAAGAAATGGTTGACGCAGATTCGTCCAAGATTGGATATGCAATATGATTACAATAATATTCGCCCGGGTAATTAAAGGTAAAATGATTACGATAACTTACAACAAATCTCGGTGACACTATTTCACTTATTTTACTATACTGTACTAGTATCTGAAGTTAATCAAAATGAAGGTACTAAGGTACTTTATAACAGTATTTAATCTAATATTGGAAGGGAAGACTGTCCTGCCCATAGTGATTTTCTTCCTCTCAAAATTTAACAAGCTTCCAAAAAAAAGTTGGATATCCCCCACTGAAACATGACAACTTGCCTAAAAGAAGGCCAGGCTGTTTCCATTTCTAGGAAGATACCCGAACATAGAAAGGTTCTAGATAAGTAACGGGACTAGTGGGGAACGCTCCTATGACTGTATATTCTCAACGTCGTTAGTCCCAGCCTGGATAGTTTTGACAGCGCTGTTTTGAAAACCTATTTCTCTATATATAAAGATAGTTCAAGCACTCCTGACCATGGACCTGCGCGAAGGCGGAGTCAAATTCACGTGAAGGCGGAAAGGTTCTATTGTAAGTGGAATTATACAGTGCATAGTACAATGCGTTTCGCACGAAAGTGGGGACTAAACCAAATTTCGTCTACTACGCCGTGGTCAAGAGTGCTTGCACGCACTATAACTAAGCTCGACAAGAAGTCAGCATCAATAAATACGTCTCGGTTTAAGGGCTCAATTCCTGTGGCTTGAAATCCAGAAATAGTATACGTAGGATTTATTGATTTTGGCAGAGCCAATTTCACAATGCCAAGAATATCATTCAATCGTCAATAAGGTCCGTAGACTGATTTGTTAAAAGGTTTTTGGTGATGAGAAGTGTGAGGGGGGAAGAACAACATGACGATACCATTTTCTTACAAAAATTAAGCACTTTAATAGAAAGAAGTGATTTATGGTAGTGTAGGTCTCGCATGGCCTTAAAAGATGTGTAATTAACACCAAAAAGGACTTGGATGTTATCCATCTCGATGGGTAGGAAGTTGCTATGCAGCCTGATGCTTCGTTGTTGATAAAATGATCTTTAAAAAACACTCGTGGTAAAACAATCATCGGAGAAAACGAATTTCTTATGGCGCTGACAGCCTATCTATCTACAAAAATATTTTGTATTTTGAGAACTATTTCCGACGTATAAATTGAAATGTCAGTAAACTTATTTTAATCTTCATTTGTGGCTTATTCTCCTTAAAATAGTAATTCCTATATCCGAATTATAAAAGTTCCTGAAAATTTTCAAGATTTGCCATCTTCTGCTTTAAAAGTCAATCTTCTTTCATGATTTCTTGGCCAGTAGTTATATCCTCTTGTTTTTTTTCCCAATGTAATTTATAATTCACAATATACACCAATAGAAAATATTTCTCATACTTTGAAGCGTACACTTTTCAAGAGATAAAAATAAAAATGATACATAGTAAAACACACTTTAAATTAGAATACTTATTTATTTATCAATTAATATCACTTGATTATTTTTGTTAAATCGTGGAAACAGTAGTCTCCTTCGTATAATTAATGCTGCTTCTGAAGAAACTGAAGAAAATCTAAAGGAGTTACGACGCCTACGGGTTTATTTATCTTCGAAGGGCCTTTGCCTAAAATTAAAAAAAAAGTTGGTTAAAAATAAATTTGATAATACGTTGACTTTATGATCGAAAACAATTTTAAAGAAGTATTTTTTTACTTTTGTTGTAGTTTCTATAACATTTTCTACATTTTGTATGACTTTCATAGTTCTTATTCAGATTTATTCAGATGTTGTATTTCCTGTTAAGCAATATAAATTAATATAATTGAACAATTAAACAATGATAAAAAATTTTAACATTATTCTTATTGTGAGCTGTCGCCTACTATTTTTACTACCAATATTTATTATAATATATTCTTTTTGCGTTATTCTATCCATTTTGGATATATGCTTCCTCTTGTAAAGTGCTTTAGTTGATCATAAATGCCTGGTCAGGTTGGAGAATGGTTGAAAATTGCATTTTCTTTAGTGCTAAATAATTGTTTATAGATCTAGAGCAGGTCAATCTTCTTCTTCTTCTCCTTTTGTCGTCAGTTTTTGGACATAGGTCTCTACTAACTTCTATCATCGAACTCTATCCTGAGCAACATATTTCCAATTTGTTTCGAGGACTCTTTTTATGTCATTTACCTATTTCATCTGTGGTCTTCCTCTTGGTCGTTTATCTTTGTAAGGTTTTCAATGTTGTATTGTGGCCTGCTAAGCTCCATTTGAGTTTGTAAATTGTTATTGTGATATCCTCGACCCTTGTTTTTATCTTATCCAGTCGTTTCTCTTTTTTTCTGACAGTTTCATGTCTAACATTGCCCTTTCTGTTGGGGATAGTTTATTTGTATTTAATCAATCAAAAGACTGATATGTTTTTTGTACACACTTATGATAAGTCAAAAGAAAAGGTAAAAAAGTATTTTTGAAGTGTGTATATTTTAAATGATTCCTAGCTGAGCGCTTTCGGCTTTACAAAGCCATCATCGGAGCTATGCTACAATAAAATGTTCTTATAAGTACTAATTGGTGAGGATTTTAATTTTTTAACTTACGTCAATTTATAAATACCACTACAACGGAGAGATCTCATTTCCTTATATGTAGAAATATTGATTTTTTAGTTGTTAAAATTCTTAAAAAACATATAAAAAACCGACACTGAACTTCACAGACACATTAAAAAATTTAAAAAATTTTTGTCATGGTACGGGTGTAAGAACCCGACCATTGATTGCTGTGAGGAGGACGACAGAATAGTTCTATTCTTCAGCGAATTTAAGGTGATTTAACTATTTGCCATTAACGTTGAGGCCATATGCTGACCAATTTGTAGTTTTAAAGACGTCTTCTGGGGCTAGATTAAAAAGCTTTGAAGATATTACGTCGAAATGCATAACTCCTCTCTTAATGGGATAGAGTTTGTATTTTCGTCTAGTCACCCTATCATAGTTGCGTTTTTATAAATAATATTTATTAGTTGCCTTTATCTCGAATACATTCTACAATTATTAATAGCTTGTTTTATAACTCACATTTAGATACTATCAAATGCCTTTTCATAATATACGAAGATAAGAAATACGGATATTTGAATTTTTTTTGCCATTTCTATCAATGTTCACATTGTCAGCATAATATGCTCTTTCTTTGCAGAAGCCAGCCTGTTCAACCGTTTGGTAATTATCTCTTTGTAAGGTAACCGATTGTTAATCACTCTCATAAATGGTTTGTATACTTGACTGAGCAACGATATAGCTCTGTAATTCTTTAGGTCACATTTGTCCCCTTTTATGTAAGAGTATTACTAGACTCTCATTCTGGTCTTTAGGGATTTTGCTATTATGAAGACAATTACTAAATAGCTCTATGAGTATTGTGATTGCTATTGTCTAAGAAGTTCAATAAAATTATTTAAAATATCATAAACGAATATAGAATATAGAAACCGGAGACAGATTCTGTCTCAGATTTCTATATAACATGTAGCTTCTCCTTTTTAAAAATTTTTAAAGTGTTTGTTTGTCTTTGTATATTGTACTGTTATGTCCAATTTTACATTTATGAGATTCTACTCATGTCGGATAGGCCACAACTGACGAAATGCCCCTGAAGATGATCTATTGATCGAAAGTACTTGGGCAAGATTTAATTAATCACTGTGTTCGATAGTTGCCTTGTATACTATCAAAGTTTATTATGAATTTAACTTTTTATCAGTCAAATTTTAGGTTTTAAATATGTCTTTTATTCTTTGCCTCTAACCAAGCTATAAATATAATCGTAAATTGCAAGTTGTTTTAACTGGATCCATTGATCTAATTACATTTTTATGATCATTTACCATGATTTGAAAAATCTTGATATATTTTATAAACATTTGATATAATTTAAATACATATAAAGGATTATCGAACGCTTTCACGAAATTTAATCTTGGATTTGAAAGTATTTCGTCAACTTTACACCATGTCTCTTGTTTCTACTAAAGATTTGTAACCTTTCTAACATTTCCACTATTGATTTTCACGACTTTAGTATTTAATAGTTATATTTTTTTGCTTTGTTCTTTTTAAGCGTGACATGGACATTTAATTGTTTCGTTTGGACCATAGTAATGATATAATGAAGAAAGAAAGAATTAGGAAAAAGTAAAATAAAAAAAATTAACGAACAACATTATAACTAAAACTTTTAAATGCTAATCTATGTGCAAATTGAGATAAGCAATATATAGAAGAAGAGAAACTGTCATCTTAACACAGTATTTGGGAAAACGAATATTTATTATGTTAATTTCTTACCTTGTGTATCCAAAATTAGCAAATAGGGCTCCCGTTCCAATACTCTTGACACAAGTCCAACGTTAGCAGACTTTTCAACTCTAGGATAAAGTCTGTCAATAGCATCTGCTATTGAATCACTGAGTTTAGCTTTACCAGATGTGAGTTTGTTAATAATTAGCTGCATTGAAAGTACTCCAACAACACCCCTTAAAATATATTCGAAGTTAGCTTTAGGAAAATAACATTAGTATACGTTGGAATTTAGTTTCCATAAAATTATAGATTTAAGTTGCTATTACTATCCGCAAAAACATAATACAAAAATCTGTTTAGCGCTCCATACTTAGACTCCCATAGTTTACCTAAACTCGTATATTATTTAAAATAGTAAGATATTTTTTTATAATTTTTTTAAATAAAACTTACCCTTGATCATCCAATGCTGGTATCTGACTAAGTCCAAGTTTCTTCATTAGATTCAAAGTCTGTTCAATGGAAGAATTTACTGGTACCGTTTGTACTTCAGGAAGATTTAATTGGGAGACATTTAAATTCCACCACCTATAAAAGCAATTTTTTAAAAATCAAATTTTTTTATTTAGAGTCGATTTTAAAGTAACTTTAAAAATATTTTAAACTAAGTAGACCTTCATTTAACCAAAATCTATTATTATATAAAATTAATAAATGCACACCAATACTATACTTTTGGAAATTTATACTGCTTTCGCTTGTGCATGGCATGTTTTACCTCTCAAAATCTGTAGTGACATAACAAGTTGACATCATAAAATAAGAAACAATTAAATTTTGAGAGGATTTTTTTTGCTTATCCAAAATAAAAGAACAAGATACTTTATGTTAATAAAATATTATGTACAGCTCGGCTAATGGCCGAAAACTAAGTTTTTACAGTGACAAATGGAATATTTTGTGAGCAATATAGAAGACAAACTTTGTTCTCATCCCAACTCCGTGCTATTTACTGGGTGAGAAGTGCCACTGGTGAAAGCTTTGCGGAGATAACTGATCTAGTGATAATTTATCAGTTATCGGCCAGAGTTAAAATAATTAAATTACTTAATACAACTATTAAAACAAAGGTTAATGAAATAGGGGAAAATTAAGAGTTGTATTGTTTAATGCCACACATAAAAAATAAAAACAAAAATTGCTGTCCAAAAAATCGCTGATACTCATTATTATCCCTCCAGATACTGACAAAGAATGTAGCGTAGAATCTTTAAAGTAATTTTAAACTGTTTGTCCTCGTTTTAGTGTAGTGTTTTGTACAATTTTATGTTATTATTGATGTTTTCACATTCTACGCTTGCCGGATAGTTTATATTTTGACGAAATGGCCCTGAAGATGCTATTTTAAGCGAAAGTACTTGGGCTAGATTTAATTAACTTGTACTCGATAATAGCCTTATTTTTCAAAGTTTAAAAAATAGTTGTTTGTGATATAAGGATGAAAATCAAGGGTTGTATGTATTGTTTAATATCGTATCATAAAAAAATAAAATTAAAAATTTTGTCTAAAAAGTAAAAGAAAAAATGTTTCTGGTGGATCACCCTTACCACTTAGGGGTACAAAAAATAAATTGCAATCGATTCTTAGACCATGGTGGTACAACCATGTAAGATGAATGGATGAGAATAGACTCCCAAAAATTGCCCTAGAAAACAATCCGCCCGGTTCAAGACCCCCCGGAAGACCACCTAAAAAATGGAGGGATAGTTGGCAATCTACCTCCCAAGAAATTAACCAGAGGCAGCTTAAACAGATCAACAAAAGTAGAAGAAGAAGAAGATTCTTAAACTTATCAAATACGAGGTCTGGCTATTAAATAACGAGACTGCTTATTAAGAAGAGTTTTATTATAAAAATTATTCTACAATCAAATGCTTTCCTTCAATATATTCCTCCTCTCTCGCCTCGCACCGTTCCATTCGTTTTTTCAAGCATTGATCAAAGCAATGCTGGAAGTCTTCTTTTGTTAGAGCTTTTAGGAGCTCCGCCGTTCTTCGCTTCACCTCTTCCATCGACCCGAACCGGATTCCTTTTAAGGCAGACTTGATTTTCGGAAACAGGAAAAAGTCACAGGGTGCTAAATTAGGCCATTACGGCGGGTGTTAGTGCACTGGAATGCCTCTAGCAGCTAAATAGCGCGTTATGGGCAAGTGCGTTGTCCTGGTGCGAGATCCACGGCTTGTTTTTCCACAACTCCGGTCGTTTCTTACGAACTGGCTCTCGCAGCGTTGCCAAAATCTTCACATAGTAAGTTTGGTTTACATTTTGACCCTCTGGAACCCATTCAGTCATCGAGATGCCGTTAATATATAAAAAAACGATTAGCATGACAAGTGATAATGTTTTCCATTAATTCAGGCTCTTCATGTAACCTCTCAAGAAAATCTGAACAGATCTGTTGACGGACGAACTTTTGGTCGGGGGTCAAATTTTTTGAGACCAACTTCGCACAGACTTTCTTCATGTTCAATTCGTCATGTAAAATTTTTCTGACAGTTTATTAACACACAAGTATAGCGTTAACAGTTGGAGTTTTTTTTTAATTTAACGAGAAATTTCACATTAATCCGTTGCTCATGCTTTTCGCCACACATTGTTATTGACACGAGAAAAAAAACATTCTTTTCTAACCACTACAGAAAAAATACTACTACAGCGACAACAATGTGTTTTCGTACTGGAAGAGTATACACTATCCAATGCTGCACTCGTTTCCCACTCTTCCCCTCTAGGACGCTTTCTGCGCGGGCAGTCCCATTATTTAATAACTAGACCCCGTAGACATAAAAACTTCATTTAAATCTGTCTAGCCGCTTTAAAGGAGTATGGCAACAATTTCCTTAATAATAATAACTAATATAGGATTAAATATAAAGTTGTGTAGTATGTTACTTACGGATGATTGTTTATGTTTACACAAGGTTGAAGATTTCGCTCTTCCATCCATTGGTCGCATACAAACTTTGTTAAATAGTTCCTAATACTATCTGGTAACATAACTACAACCCTTTTACCACGGCCATAGTTTTTAGCTTTTGCTGCTTGGATAGCAGCCCACATCATAGCTCCACTGCTAGCTCCTAAAAAGGAAATATTAGTGATTTTCGCTTCCAAAAACATTTTTACTTCCAGTAAAAAGAATATAGCAAATAACATTAGAAATAAAATAAATGGCACACTTCTTATAACCTAAATTTCGTAAGAAGTCAGTAAAGAAAACGGCTTTTCACTGAACGCAAACAAGATTTAATTTATGATGACAGCAGATCACCCGAGAGTTCAAGCCACAACTTCAAGCCATTCAAGACTTTAATGGAGAAGTAAAAACCGACATAGAGAGTTGAACCAAGAGAATGAGCTGAACCAATCATTTTTTAACTAACTAAGAAACAAAAAAACTCCAGGAATCGATGGCATAACAGCGGAGACTCTAAAAGCAATAGGCGAAATTGGCGTAGATGTAATGCTGGATATGTGCAACATGATATGGATCACAGGTGAATGGCCTGATGAGTGGTGTGAATCAACCTTGATCCCTATCCATAAAAAAGGATCACTAACCATATGCAGCAATTACAGAACCGTTGCCCTTATCCCTCATGCAAGCAAAATCCTGCTACATATAATCAATGAACGGCTAAAGAACTTTCTACTTCCAGAGATAGCCGAAGAACAATGTGGATTTGTACCAGGAAAGGGAACGCGTGAGCAAATACTCAACACCAGACAGATAGTAGAAAAAGCGAGAGAACATAACATACCAATGTTGCTCTGTTTTGTAGATTACACAAAGGCTTTTGATTCAGTAAAATGGGATCCTCTCTGGAGTATAATGGAAAATATGGGAGTACCTAACTACCTAGTTAACCTAATAAGAAATCTGTATAATAAAAACTCAGCCAAAGTTAAAGTACATGGAATATATTCAAATGCATTCAAAACAGAGAAAGGAACTAGACAAGGTTGCATACTATCACCATTATTGTACAACATATATTCTGAATATATAATGAGAAAAGTACTAGATGAATGGGATGGAGGAATCACTATAGGAGGCAGAAAAATCAGTAACCTGCGATACGCAGATGACACACTTATACTAGCAGCGAATGAAGACGAAATGATTACCATCATCGAACGGCTAAGCCGAATAAGTGAAGAATTCGGACTTCAAATCAACACCGGAAAAACAAAAATAATGATTGTAGACAGAGCAAATAATAATCTACCGCATATACGCCAAATAGGGATTTTCGAAGTAGTCGACAGATTTGTATACTTGGGCTCTCTGATAACCAACAATGGTGATTGTTCCTCAGAAATCAAACGTAGACTAGGAATGGCCCGAACCGCAACTGCTAAATTAATTAAAATACGGAAAGACCGAACAATAACAAGGAATACTAAGCTCAGGTTTGCCAATGCCCTTATTTTTCCCATTGCTACATATGCAGCTGAAACATGGACTCTCAAAAAAATCGATAGAAGTAAGATCGAAGTCTTCGAAATGTGGCTATATAGAAGAATTCTACGCGTGTCCTGGACAGAACATAGAACCAACCTGTCAATTCTGGAAGAGCTTCATATAAAAGACAGGCTACTAAAAAAAGTAAACCAAGCATACCTAACTTACTTCGGCCACATAGCTAGAAGAACGGGCACCATGGAACTATTGGTAGTAGAAGGTAAGGTAGAAGGCCGAAGACCAAGAGGAAGATCTCCAATACGATGGGTGGACCAAATGAAGAGTTTGGTGGGAAAATCCCTACATGAAGCCGTCCATATGGCACAAGATCGCAGTCAATGGAGACAACAGACTAATAATATTTAGGGTGTCACTACGCCCTGACAAGGGCTAAAGGATTGAGGAGGAGGACAGCAGATCTCAAAGATATGTTGTTATGATTGCAACATAATCAGAAGCTGATTTTTCAAAGTATTAAAAAAAGTGGGATAATACCTATATTTTTATTGCTCTATACATTTTCTTGTTTACTTTATTTGGCTTCTGTTTGTTAATATAAATTTTTTTTAGTAAAAAGTATTCAAAATATCTCAATGACCCATAGTAAGGATAGTTAGGGACAACCAATTATGTGAAACTTTCTGGATAATAAATTTAGGATGAGCAGCTTATAATAGATTTAGAAATGCAATTAAGGATAACGATAATATAATTATTTAAAAAAAAAAGCTTTTATTCCATCTACACTTCCAGCTATTAAGTATTATGCGAGTAACTTAATTCTAAAAAAAATATTTGTATCAGAATGCTCACATAAATAAATATAAAGAACTATATTAAACTAACAATGCCATATAAAATAGATACAATGTTATGGACAAAAGTAGAAAATATCACAGAGAAAATAGGTCAAACAAAATTAAAATGTAGAGAGGACAGTCATACGACAAAAAAAACCTGTAGAATGGAAACCAAAGACCAAGAAGAGGAACTGAAGACAACACCCGATATATACATGGTCAAGTGACAATAACAGCAAACTGGAGAAATAAAATGAAGCAACTTGGAAATGTTTAGAGCAGGCTTATGTCAGATAGCGGACACAAATAGTCGACTTATAGTATTAGCGTTTTAAAGCCTTCTTTTAGTTTTTTGTTTCTACTTACCAATTAAAAGTCCTTCATCTTTAATCATCCTTCTTGCCATTGGCAGAGCATTCTCGTCTCCTACTTTAATCCAAGTATCAATGACTTTGCGGTCCAAAGTTGAGGGAATAAAATCGTAGCCCATTCCTTCTATTTCCCAGAAAGTAACGTCAGTTTTATTTATAGCTTCTGGTAAAGCAAAAGATGATCCAATTGGATCTGCACAAACGATTTCTGTATTGGGAGAGATCTCTTTGAATTTTCTTCCAATACCCGTAACGGTACCACCTGTTCCTGCCCCCATTATCTAAAAATTGAAATTAGTTTTGTATTAAGTATTTAACGCAATTAGATAGAGAATATACAACGCCAAAGATTTTGCAAAGTTTACACATACACGCAAATAAGAACCGAATACAACCACCAAACCTTTGTAATAGAAAAATGTCGTAAGTCAGGTATTTTTCACCCATCAAAAAGCCAACATGTCATCTATCTAATAAATATGTATTACAGTTAACATTAAACTAATAACAGAAAAATCATGACAAGAATATAAATTAAAAAAAGGTGTAAAATAAACTACTTCATTTTAAAGGAATTTTACACAATTTCCACAATTTCAATTAAAAATACTCTATACTTGATGTTGCTGTTTCCACATCTTGAAAGTCGTCCTCCAAATACAAATTAAACAAATTCTTTGTTTTGTTTTTATTGGAGAATACTTTATTTGATTTAATGAAATCAAATTTAACTGTATAAACCCTATGAAAAAACATAATTTTAGAATATGGTAGGTATTTAAAAAAGTGCATTACATCCAATCAAAAGGGTAACCAGTATATTGTTAACACAAATTTCTATTTTGCAAGCAAAATTATTTTGATCCAATAATGAATTTTTTTAAATTCTTAATTTCCCCAAAAAACAGAATTTTTAATTTTTAACAAATTTCGTTCCACAATACAATCTACATCCAAAAAGATTAAAAATTAAAACTGAAGACACCAATTATTTTCACCGGATTTGAAGATTTTTTGTGACCAGAAGTTAACCAAGACATGTTTTTAGACGTATTTTTGCACCCTGATCACGAATCCCTTGCCAAAATAAGTGTATACATCGTTGTTTGTGAGATTCACCGAGTTTTATCAATTTTCTAAAAACCGTTTTGATAATTTTTGCCGTAATAACTTTAAGCAGAGTTTTAATGGGTTGCATCTTAAACAGTCTCTCCTACTCAAGTCAATCTCACTTTTACGTTGGTGAACCCTGTTATCACAAACGAGGCACTGATAACTGAGTATCAGTGGAATAACTGTAACAACTGGAATTAAGGAAATGTAGTTACATTAATAATATAGCTATAATAATAAGCTATTTTGGACATGTGCTACGAAGAAATGGTCTTAAAAAACTTACCTTTCAGGCAATAGTAGAAATCAAAAGAAATGGAGGTAGATCTCCCACACGATACAGGATCATATTGTTGCTGCCATTGGCGCTCCATTGTCAGAATGTGCTAGAATGGCAAAAGATAGAAAAACGTGGGGGAATATTAAAGAAATTAGCTAATAGCTTCATGATAACACGATACCTGCATCAGGTTAACGACTAAGAAGAGAGTAACATTAAGAGTGAGTGGTGCTGACCTGTCTTTCCGAGGTGTGTTGCCTGAACTGAGTAGGCCACTTAACCTTGGTTGCAATGGTCGACATTACACATTTCCCTTCTGTACAGCGTGGTAAGATATCTCCAAAGCTTCGAACATATATAAAAAATGTCGATTTTAACAGAGACACGGAAGGTACCTCAGGTGGGTGGAAACTTTATTCCACAATCCCACCACGCCGAAGCAACGGTCTGTCTCAAGGATTCTGGGCGGGGTGTGGCAAGTCGACATTGAAGAAGAAGAACAACAACAAACAACTGTATCAGAACTTAAAAGAAGATGTGGCGGGTATGTTGACTTACATTCAGGCTATAGAACCTACTACAAAGGTAAAGAAGATTATGCATACGTTGAAGTGGGTTTCTTAATGAATAAGAAGAGAAAATTAAAAATTCAAATAATTCATAGCCACTCGGTCAGGTTTACATACATGATCTTAAACTCAATTCACAAACCAGAATAAGGATTATGCAGGTTTATGCTCCATTTAAAAAAGCAACTAATAATAAAATAAATACCTTTCACGAAGACATTAAAAGGCTATACGTAACAACAAAGATCTGAAAAATATAAAATAATAATAATGGGACATTGTAACGCTAAAATTGGAAGAAAGATTGCAGACTACGAAAACAAGATTGGGAATTTCAGATTCGGTACAAGAGAAGAGAAACTTATTAAAATTCTGGAAGAAGAAAGCATGTATGTTATGAATACCTTTTACAACAGAAAGTGGACATGGAGCTCACCTAACGGAACAACAAAAATGAAATAGACTTTTTTCTCCCAAATATCAAAAGAATTTCAAGACTCAAGACGTCACACCAATAAACAACATAACAACTGATAGTGTCCATCGCCATTGAAAACAACAGAGGCCTAAAATGTCTAAGTCCAACACTAAGTGTCCAAAAAATTATTAAAATTAGACACCAATAATAAGGAAGAGAGGGAAAAATATACAATAATAAAGATAGTCTAATAGTTCTCTAAAACATTGTACAGCTTGCAAAGCCAGTCTAATAAATCAACAAAAAAGAACGTTAAAAGAAAAATTAAAATACGTGAGATTAGAGGTACTACCAAATATAGACAGATTCGAAATAGAAAGAGCTTTAAGAGAGCTAAAACGTAATAAAACTCTAAATACAACGGTATAATTGCCAAGCTCTTGAAATTAAGCAAGACAGTAACAACCCTTATACTAATAGAGCTATTTAATAGATGTCTTTATAATAGCAAAATCCGTAAAGCCTGAAACTAGGGTGAAGTAATATTCTTACACAAAAAAGGAGAAATATGTAACTTCAAGATAGATTTGCGTACTGAAGAACCGCAAAATACCTCAATACTTGAGAAACAAAGTGTTCAACCAGGGCATCCTTCCTATCATGATATATGGATATAATACCTGGCCCCTAACCAAGTAAATATGAATAAAATAGCCACAATAGAAAGGACAATGAAGACGGTCGATGGAAGACTAAGAAGAATAATAACTTCAAGTACTGATTCGTAATCAGTCATCAGTGTTTTTTTGTATATTACATTTTTTTACTCTAAGATTAGACAAACGGATTTTATTAATTTTCTCAAAACCGGAGGTAAATATCTTCGTATTAATTTTTTTTGCCGTACAATGTTGCTCTACAACCAATCTTGTACTGGTCAAATATATTTCAACTAATGGCACGTAAATTCAACAAGTTTTTACCTATAGGTGTCTGGGCCATTAGATTAAATTAGGAACAGACAATCAAACAATCGAGTTAAACAGGAGAATATGACTAACATTGGCAGCTTACGAAAAACTGAGAGAAGTCTATAGGTTAAAAAGATCCTTGTGCTTGAAAAGAACGGTCTTTGATCAATATGTACTTTCAGTTCTAACGTATAACTATAGAGCATAAAACATTGACCCTTGCCAGAAAAGTAATCAATAAGTTATAAGTGGCATAGCGAGCAATTTAGAGGTCAATGTTAAATATATCCCTTACAGACACAGTATCAAATAAAATGGTTTGTAGAAAAATTGGTGTTACGCAGGCAATTAAAAGAATAACAACGCTGAAATGGAACGGAGTAGAACATGTTGCCAGAGTCAGTCAGAGCTAGAAAATGGACCAAGAAAATTTTAGAATGGAGACCTGGACACGATGCTTATCGTAATCGAGAACGTCCTTCAACAAGGTGGTAAGATGATAACAAGCGCATCCAGTATAACTGGACTCACATGGCTCAAGATATAATGCAATGGAATTATTTACGGGAGGCCTATGTTCAGCAGTGGGCGCAAGACAACTACTAATGATACGGATTTTTCGCCGTAGTAACTGTTAATGCTGGATCGGAATAGGTCGTCAGTTTTTTTCTATATATTAAGAGTTTTTCAATATAAGACTGGATAGACAGACAAATGGACGGACGGAGAGACAAACATAATCCATACGATCGAAATTTTATTTTCGTGTTAATATTTCAATCCAAAAACTTAAAAGTATACTAAAAAATATTAATAGCAACAGATCTGTAAATATTAGACGCTTTGATCATTTTAGTTGCTTTGTAAAAAAATGCAAATAATTTTTACTATTGTATCAATAATAATTAATCTAACAAAAACTACCTCAAGGACTTGAATATTATTGTATGCAGATGGCATTAACAATTAACATACTTCAGCTAAACACTAAACATGTTTATATGGGAAAACCTTGATAGTTTGAGGTAATTGTAATTTTTTGTACCTCTTGTATATTCAATTTTATATATAATTAAATTATTTTCCAATCAAGTCGTTGTCCAAACTTCAGCAATAATATATGTAATTACAGAACACTTAAAATTAATTAGGTGTTAAACGAGATACTTACTATCATATCTACTTGTTTGTCGCATTGATCATAAATTTCTTCTGCTGTGGTATCGTAGTGAGTTAGTGGATTTCCGGGATTCGAGAACTATAAAATAAAAAAAAAACAATATTTATTAAAACAATAATGCTGTGTTTGGGCCACTACATATTGGTAACTTCAGCGCTAACAATATATAAATATAACTTATCATATATCTCTAAACACCAAAATTCTTCCATAGCCCATTGTGTCTCTTAAACTGTTCCAGAATCAATTTCTAATCTATCTGCTATTTATCTTAATTTTTCAGTTTCGCACTCCGCATATACTTAAATTTTCCTCCTTTTGGTTTTTAATTAGCAAATAGCTATCCAGCAAATTCCATCTTCAACAATTGAAATACTTTGGACATGTTATGAGAGCAGTCACAGAAAACATGGAATGACTTATCCAAGGACTTATCCAAGGAAAGGTAGAAAACCGAAGATCACAAAGATGATCCCCAACAAGACGGATCGATTAAATTACAGGAATATGCAAAAGATCTATGCACGAGGTGAAAGAAACGACCAGAGACAAAGATTTTTGGTGACGAAAATCTGTGCTTTAGTCATATATGTTTTTTGTACGATTTCTTTTTTTTTATTTTTTCTACATCCATATTTTTGTTGGATAAAACCGATAATAATATGGTCGAGATTGTACAGATCAAAATTGTAATGCCTGCACCATATTCCTTTTTCCCGAAAAGCTAGCCATCGTAGCAAAACTATTGTATATACGCCTACATATTTACATACTACAGTCCGGCAAGGCGATAAAATTCCACTAAAACTGATTACAATGCTGATAGAATATATGTTTGGGAAACGTAAGTGGGTGAATGTGGTAATCAATATTGATGGTGAATTACTAAACCACTTATGCTTCGTTGACGGTATTTGATAATTTTATTATATTTTTCAACCTCAAAGAAGCGCAGTGTGCTTCTCAACAGTCTGAAAAACTTATAGGGATAGGGTTCGTTATTTTGCCATAAGGTCGATATCATCGGTATATGTTGTATACATCTATTAATCCCATGGTGGTTGGAAAGATTAGTATAGATCAAGGTATGCTTTCGCTTAATGGAGAGGAACTAAAACGAGTTAATCATTTTAAATACCTATCCCGCTAATTAAATTCCCTCTTAAATGTGACTCTGGTGAAGAGATAATAACCGGGATCGAAATATCACGTAAGTCTTTAATGACCTGGAAACCAGTTTTATTTAATAAAAACCTGTCGATGTATATTCGCAAGAAGATCCTAAACTGTGTGTGAAGGTTATGTGTGGTCTATTCTATTATATGGTTGTGAGACCTGGACAATAAAATCAGAATGCTTAACAAATTAGACCTATTCGATGTATGGTGCTATCACTGGATCACAAAAATATCATGGATATTGCACACTTTCAACGAAGATGTTCTTATAATGATAAATTCGGAACGTCTGATCAAAACATTATAAGAAGGAGAAAAACGTAGTACCATAATATAACGAAAAGTGGAGGAAAAGAGATGGGTTGTTTGAAAGAAACTTTCATGTCTGCATGATATTAGACAATGGTGTGGTACCACAGTCGACGAATTATTTTTTACAGCAACCGATAGAGAAAAGTTTCAGGAAATTGTAAACATTATTACAGCCAACGTTTGAATATGGACACGGTATTTAAAGAACATTAATCCCTTGGTTTTCCTTGTTATTACTACCATTTTCCTTAAAGCTTTTTCAATAGCAATGTTAAATAAGATCCATGATAACTTATCTCTTGATCGTAATCCTATCTTTGCTAAAACGATATTGACATTCAATTATTCAACCTAACCTTACACGAATTGTCGAAAGACTTGCTGTCACTAATTTTATTAAGTGTACTGGGATATTGAATTGTATCATGACTTTTCTCAGATGGTGTGTGTCGATTACATATTCATTAGGTTTTATTGAACCTGGTTTAGACGGAATATTTGATCGGTAATTTTTCTTAGAAAATCGACCCTGGCATTTGTAAGGAGAATATCATAAAGAGTGTAGACTAATATTTTGTATGCTTTATTAAGCAGCAAGTTCTTCTTAATTTGTAGAATTGTGTTTGATGTTCTTTTTGTAAATAGGTACAATTTTATCTATGTTCCAATAATTCTGTAGTTGATGAACACGTTTCCAATTAAGTTATCTTAGTCTACACACTACAATATATAGTATTTATGTTATGTAGTTTTTTATGTCATGTTTAAGAATGTGATATAAAGATATGTGATATTTCCTGTTTCAGTTTCTTAATTCTCTTATTAAGTTCTTCCAACGTTAGGATGTGATACTTCTTTTGTGCTTAATCTCCTTCTATGTCTTCTAAATATACATATATTTTGGTGTCCATAATATCTTATTTATTGTGTTGTCTTCCCTTAAAGTTTTCTCTCCATTTTGACGTTTGAACATTTTTGCTTTGCATTATCCTTCTTTTTTTTTCGTTATTTTTTACTCAAACGAGCAAAATCATTTCCGCCAATATTTATTTAATCCGTACTCTTCCGCGAAATGTAAATACTTTTTAACATTTACTAAGCAGTGGTCACTTTAAGTCTACCTTATTTTATTGATCATAAGGTTATTAATTTTTTTGTTTTTTCTTTATTGTAAAATACTTAGACGCAGCTATAAGTACCATTAAAAAATGAAGCCCTTACGTCAATGATTATAGTTTATAGAACGCAGATACTTGTATCAAAATACAAATGCAGAGAAACATCTAAATGTATATTTCTGCGTCAGTACTTGATAGAGTACCAAATTGTGGTAGTAGGTGCTTAAAAGTACCATAGGGAAACTAAGAGTTTTAACCCCAGTAAAATCATTTAATACTTTACGGTTGTACCATAGTACTCCGATTATTCTTAATGGCTTACGTATAGTTGTCTAATTTTATAATTTAGATTACTTAAAATGATTAGTAGTATGAAAGTATAATGGCTATTAATGTACGGTCTATTGCTATCATATGTTGAGAAAAAATAAACTTAAGTGAAGGTGCTTACATAAATATAGGTAATACATGATCAAAAGGTCTGTTATACAGTACGTTAAGTTTTTGATTAGGTATTGCACACTATACGGAGCGCTAAAATCGGCAACGTTGCAAATGTTCGTTCTCCGACCCGAGACTATCTGCACCGACAGAAAATCATTTTAGTTTAGTAATTCACAACAACGTTTGGGATGTACTTCTCTGTCGTCCGATCTCATGTTTCATTACGTATAGCCGATTTTAATAGTAGGAAATTCGATAAAAATGCACTGACCTAATCGGTGCATTGTTATCGATTTTTATTAATGTGAAAATTTTTTTGTGGTTGAATTAAAAATAAAAGCGTATTTCTTTAAAAAGATAAAATAAAAAATATACTCTTATTGAAAATTAAAATATTATTCCTAATAAAATAAAAAATAAGTCTTTATGACCTACAGAAATGGTTCCAATAGTGGACCTTCTACGGCTGAACAGTACCCCAATCTGTCATAAAAACTTCTGCGAACAGATGAAAGAGTTTCTGCTGTAACAGAATTGGAGACTTCTCTGATCCGATTTTTTTATTCATCCAAATTTTGGGCTCTAGCCTCAGGATGATCGTAGATAATGTTTTTTAAATGTCCCCAAAAAAAGAAGTCCATGATTGTAAGATCTGGAGATCGCGCAGGCCACTTAATATCGCCTGTTCCACTGATAACTCGATTCGGGAAAGTATTGTTTAAATACTCCCTAATAATTCGAGCGTTGTGAACTGAACAGCCGTCTTGATGAAACCAAACATTCTCCAGGTTTACATCAGGAAAATTGAGAATAGCGGGAAGAACATGATTCTGTGACAAATCGAGGTATACTCTACTATTCAAGTTGCCCTCAATAAAAAATGGACCTATTATGTGGTCTCCTAAAATGCCAGTCCAGACGTTAAGTTTTTGAGGACGTTGAGTTCGGTAAACAACACTTCGGTGCTGGTTTTCTCGCGCCCAATACCTCGTAATGGAATGATTGTGTCTCCCTACTAACGAAACAGAAGATTCATCAGTGAATAAAATGTTTTTAATAAAATTTGGTTCACTATTAGCCTTGGTTATTAGAGTTTCACAAAACTCCATTCTTCGAAAGTAATTGTCTGGATAAAGCTGCTGCGTTTTCGAATATTTAAAATTCTTGTAACCGTGCTTTTTCCATACTTTCGTTACAGTAACATTGCTAACATCTAACTCTCTAGCAACGCTTCTACTTGAACGTGTTGAATCTACCTTGATTGTTGCACAAATTTGTGTATCCCGGTATCCTCTTTCCTCAACTTTTTCTGGTAACACTTCTTGAGCGTGACATTTTCTGCAATTTTTGAGGCAATAACAACTCTCAAAATGTTTAACAATATTATAAATTTACTGTACACAAGGAATTCGTCTTCCCTCAAAAAACACAGAATATAAATCTCCACACTATTGCGCAGAATTGCTACAACCATTTTATCATTTGAGCTTTTTCTGCGGCCATATAAACAGACATGTTTACAAAAATAAATTAAAACTCTACGCTGTTATACCTTTAAACAACCACGGTATAATGACAATATGACAAATTTGCCGACGGGCGAAGAGCAACGACGAGTCAACGAAGCAGATGAACTTTCTACTAGAAAAGACGCAACAAGACTGCTGCAGAACCATTTACTGTAAATATTAGCGTTTGTGGAAGAACATCTTGACTGTACAATCAATGTTTTGGAAAAGATTCTGCTCTTAACTTGATCCAAATATCATTTAAGCTCACCAGATGGGCAAAAAAATTAGAAGACCTATTTATGGTTAACCTCAATCTTGCTTGGATGGGTTATCACCTCATACAAGTAGGTTTGTTATGGATTACGTTTTAGACAAAGCTTCTGCAGAAGATCGTTCAGGTTAAGTAATTATATATAGAGAAGCTAACAACTACTAAGTTGATTATGCTGTATTACATACACCAATATTCCAAGAATATTCAAATAAGGACATTATTTGTTGATTTGTCAAATTTAAGTGAAATGAGCTCAGAACTTACCTGGTCAAAAATAATACTGTTCGGAATTTCTTTTGATAAACGATGGACAGTACCAAACATTCCATATGGAGAAAATGAATTAGCTGTGACTGGGCATCTGATGACTTCCGCTCCTAAGGCTCTCATTACGTATTCTTTCTCTTTGGATATTTTTTCTGACATTACGATTATACATCGATATCCTAAAATGTGGTTAAATAGATTTGTGGTTTAATCTTAATAAACTAAAATTAATTACAGCAATGTTGAAATAAATAATACGAATATTTCTTCACAAGCTAAATTTACCTTTAATAGCTGCTGCCATAGCCAAACCAATACCAGTATTACCTGAAGAAGGTTCTATAATGGTACATCCTGGTTTTAAAATACCTTCGTTTTCGGCATCTGTTAGTATTCTGTTTGCCATGCGGTCTTTTACTGAGCCGCCAGGATTAAAGAACTCACATTTCACATCTAAAAATAAAAATTCCTTAATATTGTTCTGAAGCTATTTTCTTGTGGCATTGTAAATTAATTACTATTAAACTGGGAATAAGCCATAATTAAAGATAAAAATACGTTTATTGACGTTTCAATTTCCACTTCGCAAATCGTTCTCAAAATACAAACAGTAAATTAAACAAATTTTGTTTTTTGTTACATAGTGAAAAATTCTTCTAATAATTTAATTTTATCTGACTCATTTATATTGACAATTCAGACATACATTATGCATTTTAAAGTAGACGACTTTAAAATGATATTGCCAATATTGTTGAGTTGCGCTCCTGGGACGACTTTACTTATAAGATAGTTCATTCGATTACATGAAATCAACTTTAACTTGAGAATATCCGTCAGAAAAAATCATAGCATCTAATTCGTCTTTAAAAAGACAAACACATGACATGATGACAGTAAAATTCTCCTGTTAGTGATTCCATAGTAAATTATGAGGGAAAACCAGGAAAAAAACCTCATAATACTATCCCGACATTGTAAGTATTTGTTCGTGAATTTAGTTTACCTTCAACAAACATCAAAATTCTGATTTTATATGTTACGTTATTTAAAAAACATAAATGATGTATCCTCTATATGTTACTGACTTACTAATACTGGTATTTTCTTATTAATAACTTCCTCTTTCAATATTGGTAACCAGATCCTACTACATTCTGCCGAGGAATTTGCGACACAATTGGCCTCATTTAGCATAATTAGAGCCGCTTCTTTGATTTTTCTTTTTTCACCATCCGAATTCAAATGGCCTAACGAACCACATCCAAGAAATAAAAATTTTCCTCGACGAGAAGAAAATTGATGTTATGCTTGTATCAGAAGCTCATCTAACAGACAAAAACTATATAAAAATTCCAAAATACATTGTCTACTACACAAAACATCCAAATGACAAGGCACACGGTGGCACAGCTATCATTATCAAATCTAATATAAAACACCATGAGTTAAATAAGTTCAGTGAAAAGTACCTGCAATCAACTAGCATTGTCATCGAAGACTGGTTAGGCAACCTTACCTTATCTGCGGTTTACTGTCCTCCTGGTCAACCAATCAACGAAAACAACTTTAGCACCTATTTTAGTTCTCTTGGACACAAATTCAAAGCAGGAGGAGACTTTAACTGTAAACATCATCACTGGGGCTCTAGGATAATTACAACAAGGGGCAGACAACTGCTGAAGTCAATAACAGGAAACAACCTACAACACATATCTACAGGAGAACCAACTTATTGGCCTACAGATCCAAATAAAACACCAGATCTCTTAGACTTCTGTGTGATTAAAGGTATCTCTCTTAACTACTTAGCAATAGAATCATGCTGGGACCTCTCTTCAGATCATTCTCCCATTCTAATTGACCTAGACTCCAAAATCATACTCAGAAATAAGCCTCCAGTCCTAACCAATAATCAAACAAATTGGAAAATATTCCGAAGCGCACTAGCAGAACAAATACCAACGAACTTGCCACTTAAAACAGAATTACAAATTGAAAATGCGGTACAACAACTTACTACCTCCATACAAAAGGCAGGTTGGATTTCTACTCCTGAACAAACAACATGGACGGAAAGCATAAACTGTTCGCAAAGTGCAAAAAACCTGATCGATGAGAAAAGAAAACTTAGGAAAAAGTGGCAAAACATACACGCTCCTATTGACAAACAAAATTTAAACAGAATTACCAGAAGACTTAAAAATCTATTAAAAGAAGAGAAAAACAGGGGGATCCAAACTTACTTAGAAAATTTGACTCCGTCCAAAGACACCAATTATTCTCTATGGAAGGCGACGAGAAAGGTAAAAGGTCCACAAGACGCCATACCTCCTCTAAAAAATGTCAAAGGTAAATGGGCAAGAACAGACACAGAAAAATCTGAGACATTCGCAGAACATCTTTCTACAGTATTTAGTCCATTTAACAGAGTAGTGCCATTAGAACAAGAAGAACCATTTAATTCTTTTCTTGAGGCTCCATATCAAATGGAACTACCAATCACCAAGTTTAATATTAAAGAAGTAAAACACATAATAAAGAATGAGATACAACCCAATAAGGCTCCGGGATTCGACCTCATAACGGGTAAGATCCTTCAGGAACTAACCAATGACTGCTACAGAACAATCACTATGATCTTCAATGCTATGCTTAGTCTGCATTACTTTCCCCTGCAATGGAAAGTGGCACAGATTATACTCATTCAAAAACCTGGTAAAGATCCAAAAGATGTCAACTCATACCGACCGATTAGTCTACTCCCAGTCATCTCTAAGGTCTTTGAAAAACTTCTGCTACGAAAAATCAAACCAATATTGGACGAAAAGTGTCTCATACCTGACCATCAATTTGGTTTTCGTAACCAACATGGTACAATCGAACAAGTTCACAGACTATACACAACAATAAAAAGTAGTCTCGAGAACAAGCAATACTGCACTGCAGCCTTTTTAGACGCCTCTCAAGCTTTTGACAAGGTGTGGCATACAGGACTTCTGTACAAATTAAAGAAAAATTTACCTTACCCTTACTTTAAACTGCTTCAATCATACCTTACAGAAAGGAGATACCTGGTAAAATATAATGAAGCCCATACAAAACTCTACCCCATCCTATCTGGTGTACCTCAGGGTAGTGTGCTCGGACCGATTCTGTACCTGATATATACAGCTGACTTGCCAATAAGCAATAACCTAACGCTTGCAACATTCGCAGATGATACTGCTTTCTTGGCCTCTCATAGCAACCCAAAAATAGCATCAGAGAGACTGCAACTACATCTGAACAAAACAAATGAATGGCTTAAACTCTGGAGAATTAGAGTAAACCCCTCAAAATCCACACAAATTACATTTACTCTAAGAAGAGGTACATGTCCACAAGTTAACCTCAATGGACATCCTTTGCCCCAAAAGCATGACGTAAAATACTTAGGTATTCACCTTGACAAACGTCTAACTTGGACCAAACATATATGGACGAAAAGGCTTCAATTGGGAATTTTATACAGAAAACTTTACTGGATGTTGGGAAAAAACTCTCACCTATCGATCGACAACAAGCTGCTGATATACAATACAATAATAAAACCCACTTGGACATATGGCTCGCAGCTCTGGGGTTCAGCTAGCAAATCTAATATTATGATAATACAAAGATTTCAATCCAAAACTCTGAGAACAATCGCTAATGCACCTTGGTATATCCAGAATGATGCAATACATAGAGATCTTCAGGTACTAACAGTCTCTGAAGAGTGCAAAAAATCTTCTGAACAATATCAAAACAGGTTGCGGGTGCATCCTAATACCCTGGCACACAACCTTCTCAACAACCAACAAGCGAAGAGATTGAAGCGACATGACCCCTTGGACATACCTCACCGATCCTGACAGAGCCTACAGTAGTGGGAGTTAGGCCCTCAACAGCACCCAGACATTGTGATCAGTGCCGCTTTTAGTGCTCGCGTATCAGTGTATGTGCGCATCCTACCGGTAAAAAAGCCAACTTGTGTCGTGATGATTTGGTCACTGGACCTTACATCTCTCTGTCATGTAAAGACAAAAAGTTTTACTTATTGTTTTCACTGCAAAACAGATTGTAAAAAATCTTAAATGTTAATAAAAAAAAAAAAAAAAAAAAATATTTAAATGGAGGTGAAATATAGATCATGAAGGATAATATGATGGACAATCATATAAGGATAATATGATGCACAAGTCACATAGGACGTGACTCAGGTATTTGATAAAGTATGGCAAAGATGCCATAACTATAAACTAAGACTACATTTACCAAAACGATACTCTCAAATAATTGACTCCTGCATGTTGTAAAGATATTTCAGAATTAAACAGGAAGAAACATACACGGAACTGAAAGAAATTACAGCAGGACTGCCACAAAGAAGTGTCTTTACCTTTTGTATACGTGTTACATTATTGTCCTAGAAAATAATACAATTGCAACATTTACCGATGATACTGCTATCATGACAATATGCAAAACCAGCGAGGAAGCGACAAAGAAATTACGCAGATGTTAATCAAATATATACTCCAGGGAAATAAGCAAAAAATAGACCTTGTTCGTGACACTCAATAATCTAGGTCTCTGACAACTTTTTTAGTTATTGTAGATCTATAAGAAAGAAAACCTACTTGTTTCCTGCTTTGAATTTGAAGTTGTTTTTTAATTATTAACAATTTAATGCAAAAAACGCGATTTTTTTTTATGATTATTGATACTAGTATTAAAAAAATAGATTTTTGGAAAAAAATAATTTTTGCACGAATTGTTTAAACAAACTGGACTATTTATTAAATAATTAATATATAAACAAATTACATATTTGTAATGTACGTAGAAATTACATACAAATTAAAAAAAGAATGATCAAAATCCATTGAGTAGATCTGGAGATATAGAAATTTTTATTAGTTTGAAATTGTTTGTTCGATATGGATCACAGAATCCCATTCCTTAACATGGCATCAATGAGGTTCTTTAATTATTATAATCAAATTAGCTGTGAATTATCATCTTTTCTCTGACTTGATCTACTACTTGTTGTAATTGGTCGTAAAACGGTTCCCTTGTTCTTCGGGGCTTATTATTTTCTGGGCCGTATACTCCGATAATGTTCAGGTTTTTCTTCTCCATTCTTATCTTTGCTGTTACTATTCTTTCTGATATGTATTGACATTTTTTAATGTAATTTTAATACCTTTGGTGTATTAGGAAGGCTACACCTTCTTTGGCCCTGTTTTCTTTTGCTACTCCACTGCAGATTAGTATGTATTCACCTAATTTTGATTGACCTTTTCCTTTATTTTTTGTTTCATGTAGAGCACAAATGTCTATTTCTTTCTCTTTAAGCACTTGGGTTATTTCTTGGTCCCTTGAGTTGAGTGATCTGATATTCCAAGTAGTAATTCTCATCTGGGTTTTGGATGTTTTTCGCTTGTCCTTACTTCTTGCCGTAGTCGTCTTCATAGTATCAATCCGGTTCTGAGGCTGAACATTGTTTCTTTGAGCAGTATTTGTTTTTACGATTGGTAGGTTGTTAACTAATAAATATATATATAATTAAATTTCATATTCAAATACTGCAAAATATTTGGTTATAACTCTGAGCTCATGTAAAGAAGAAAAGAAAATAATAATTCTGATTAAAATACAAAAAAATATGTACTTGCTGATTGACCAAAATTCTACGCTGTTTCTATGTAATAAATTATTATTATATAATCAAATACTGAAACAATAGTATTATTATAAAAACAGTATACATATTTAGAAGGAAAATGTCACAAATTAACAGAAAATATTTCTATTCATATAAAAATTTAATAAAATTATAGGTACCTACTTACTGCTTATTTATTTAAAAATTCCTAATTTTAAATACAATAAACACACTGGCTGGTCAAAAGTCGGAATAAGCCCTAACAGTGTTATTCAACATTATTTATCCTCTTCCGAGGGTCTTACCTACCTGCTGGCGAGAATCCAGAAGCTACCGACAAGGACAGCTTGTGCTGACGGATAGAGAATTACATTTAGCAGAACTTTGAAATTTTTTAAAAGTTTATACCAAATAGCTGCTTTGTGTTACACTTTATGTTAAAAACAAAAACAGATTCGGAAAGTGGGTCAAATTCTCTAGTGCCCTATTTCAAAAAAAAAATTAACGTTTATTTTAACCAAAAATATTTGAAAAAAAAATATTGTTTAAACAATGTATTAATTTACAACCAAATAGTGCACTAGAACTTTTTAAAACCTTTCATATAAACCTTTCCATAGTTTTTGCGTTATTTGATATAAACTTTTACATTGGAATTTAGCTAGGTATGCCTAGAGTCTCGAGGATCGGCCTTAAATTTAAAAATAAATTCAAAACTCCTTGATCAATGAAGTGTCCTTAATATTTATAAGGCTACTAAAAGGGATGTTATTCATTTCATATTTCATATAACTCCCAAAAATCATAACAAAAATGTTGATAAGTTAATTCATTAATTTTCTATTGAACATAATTGTACTATTCTAACTCAATTTATTATTTATTTAAGATTTTTACGTGTTTTATATTAAAATATGTAAAAACTGATTTTATAGCGAGTAAAACACTTACATATATCACATTCCAAACCTTCTTGCTGAGGTATTCTGTTAAGCTTGATCAATGGAGTATTCCCAATTGCATGCAAAGCATTTGGCAGGATTTTTGGCCGAGGTGCTTGCCTATAAAAAGTTATAAAATATAAAAGTAAAATATAAAATATAAAGTATATAAAAGTATAGATTTTAAAAGGTTAAACTATTACACTGAGATCTAGTGAGAGTAAAATTATGTATATGAATATTGTATACATCGTGTTGATAAATAAGGGACCAGACTGAATAATAAAATATCAATTGATATAAAAATACATTTCACCTACTGGTTAATCTAAACAGCTACCTGGTCCACACTTTAGAAATTAATGGTTTTGAGAAAAATCATTATTGTGATATTTGGCAAGATCGCACTTGCCATTGTTAAATCAGATAGTAATGGTTCTTACTGGTGCTTGAAGTAAAATGTCTTTCTCCTACTCGTCAAATTTTCGTTGCCTGATTTATTTATGTTTTCTTCTTTAATACCGAGTTTCATATTATTTAAAGTCTTTGAGCATCATCTCTTTGATTTAGACTTCTTTTTCTTCAGATGCAAATCCACTAATGGATGTTAGAAATCACATTTTCCATTAATTCTCTATTTCTTGCAATATGTATCAGAGATTGTATGTCGTTAATCCCTATCCATTGCCTTATGTTTCGGAGCCAGGACATTTTCTTGCGTCCCATTCCTCTCTTGCCTTCAATTTTACCCTCGATTATAAGTTGGAGGAACTGGTATTTTTCATTTCGCATGATGTGACCGAGATACGCCGTTTTCCTTTTCTTGATGGTTTCGAAAAGTTGGCGTTCTTGGTTTATTCTTTTAAGGACATCCATATTTGTGATTTTCGCTGTCCATGGTATTTTTAGGATACGGCGATAAAGCCACATTTCGAAAGCTTCTAATCTGTTTATATCTCTCGTTTTGAGTGTCCAGCCCTCTACGCCATATAGCAGCACTGACCATACGTAGCACTTAGTAAAACTTAGTCTCAGTTGAAGATCGAACTCTGAACAGGTCAGTACCTTCTTGAATTTTACGAAAGCTTTTCCAGCTTGCTCAATGTGACATTTTACTTCCCTGTCCGATGCCCAGTTTTCAAAAAGCCACGATCCCAGGTATTTAAATTTACGCACTCTTTCAATGGATTTAGTATTCAGCGTTATGGTGGAGTTTTCAAGTGCATCCAAGTTTCTGGAGATGATCATGAATATGGTCTTTTTGGTATTAATCTGTAATTCCATTCGCTTACTGTATTCTCCGATTATAGTGACAAGTTGTTGAAGATCGACTATGTTGTCACAAATTAAGACACCATCATCAGCATATCGTATGTTGTTGATCAATACTCCATTCACCTTGATTCCCATCTCTGTATCCTCCTAAGACTCTTGAAATATGGCTTCCGAATAAATGTTAAATAAAAGAGGGGAAAGCACACATCCCTGTCGAACGCCTCTTCTTATATGTATGGGCTTGGATATAGAATTGTCTATTTTTATCTGTGCCGTTTGATGCCAGTACAAGTTTTCAATGCATCTTATGTCTTTTTGGTCTATATCAACTTTCTTGAGAATCTGCATTAACTTGTGGTGTTGGACACGATCAAACGCTTTTTGGTAATCTAAAAAGTATAGGAACACATCCTTCCTCTGATCGTAACAATTTTGGACCAGCACCTGTGTTGCTACTATTGCTTCTCGTGTTCCGAAACCTTGCCTAAACCCGAACTGGGAATCACTGATGTCCCATTCACATTTTTTGTATAATCTTTGATGTAGTAGTTTTAAGAATATCTTTAAAGTGTGACTCATCAGGCTAATGAGTCTGTGATCCTCACATCTTTTTGCATTGACTTTCTTGGGCAGGGGAATAAGAGTAGAGCGTAACCACTGTTAAGGATAGTAGCCAGTTTCATAAATTAAATTAAATATTTTGTGTAGTGCTGAAATTCCCCTTTCATCTAGTCCCCTTTCATGATTTAGACTGCTGGGATATTTTTCTATTTCTATTGATTCTTTGATTTTACGTTTTCTTTTAATTTCAATACTAGCTAGTATCGTCGTTTGATTCAGATTTATTATATGTCCGGTATTTGAGACATGTTGTGTAAGGGACGACGTTTTTTCTTTCCTTTCTCGCCTAATATGGATTCTTCTATTGGTCTATCCGATGTACGATTTGTCCAACAGTCCTCACATGGAATCTCGTATTCATCAAATTATATAATCAATTGTAAAAATTACAAGCATTTGCTTGACTTCCTGCGATTGATATCAAAACAGCTGTTTTAATGGTGTTCCATTTGTCCGTTTCATTTTAAGTGACACCCACGCTGGACAGTTTACAAAATTTTAATCCTAACTGCGAAAGACTCTTGTTAGAAAGAGTCAAATTATAGAAATCGAGTTTAGGAGTTCAGTAAAATCTTTCTAAAAATATTCCTAATAGTTCTGTACACATTAGCGAAAGGTGCAGAGTGTAAATTTCTTATTTTAAAGTTAATAATATAAATATAATTTATAATAATATTTAATAAATTCAGTATGTTACTTATTACGATTGTTTGGTTATTTACAAATGACACAACATATTCATGAAACTTCATTTGACTTGGATTGAGCAGGAATAGTTATTTTTACGATAGTGCAATAGCCACTTTGTTCTTCCTAATATGATTATAAAATAATTGTTAAGTTTTAAACCACACTGTTCCCTAAATTGGGGAACAGTTTGGTTTTACAATAAATAAAAATGAAAAACAAAAACCATGGTTATCAGTAAGAAAGGCAAAGTCATTACAAGGATCCAGATAAAAAATTAAGATATTGACCAAATGGACAAAAAGGAAATACTAAGGAGTCTCGATTGCGGAAGATCTGAATCCGAAATCAGAAATTCGCTTAACAATAGAGCAATTAAGAGCAGCCTTTTTGAAAATGAGGAAATTTCTGAGTAACCAAAGTCTTAATTTGCAAATCCGATATCGGATGGTAAAATGTTATATCCACTCTATTCTTCTTTATGGTGTCAAAGCCTAGACTGTTAATGTTGACTTAATGCGAAAACTGGAAGCTTTTGAGATGTAACTTCTTAGGAGAATTTTGAAGATACCATAGACAGATCATATTATGAACGAAATGGTGTTGCAGAGAATGGGAAGAGACAGAAAACTTTTACCACCATTAACAGGCGAAAGACAGCATATTTGTGGCAAATACTTAGAAATGATAAGTAAGGGTTGTTGCAGCTGATTATGAAGGGTAATATTGAAGAGAAAAGGGATCACACCGATTTAAACGCATACGGTTTAAACACACAGAAGCTCTTAAGAAATCCAGAAGATAGAGACGAATTTGCAATTATCGAACCTTCATTAGTAGAGACGGCACTAGAAGAAGAAGAATTGTTAGGTTAAGTTTGTAAGCTGTTTTTTTTAATATGTATATAGCTTCTAACTCCGTGACTTATTTTGTTGTGTTTGCAATAGCTTATTAATGTCTGATTCCTGTACAGAAAGCGTCAGTAAATATCACTAGAATAACTTTCGATTATTTATAACATATACTGTATGTAAGTGATTGGTTGAGAGATTAGAAATTTATTCCAAAAAATGAATAATTATTAGCGATTTACGGACTGATTAGGAAACTCTTCTTTTTTATAATTATTCATCATCATCATCACTGGCTCGACAACCCTTTTTGGGTCTTGGCCTGTTCAAGGATTCTTCTCCATTCTAACCTGTTTCGTGCTTTTTTTCCAGTTTTTAATTTTTAATGTTGTTATATCATTTTCTATTTGTTCTACGTATCTCAGCTTCGGCCTTCCTCTTGTTCTTTTTCCTACTGGCACTTGTTTGAATATTTTGTTTGGTATTTCGCCTTCTTCCATTCTTTCCACATGTCCAATCCAACGTAGCTTTCCTATTTTAATGAATGTTATGATATCCGGATCCTGATATATGTTGTATAGTTCAAAGTTATACCTTCTCCGCCAAATCCCGTTTTCTTTTGTGCCCTTATATATGTGTCGCAAGATTTTTCTTTCAAAGGTGGCTAATAACGTTTCCTCCCTTTTAGAGAGTGTCCAGGTTTCTGAACCGTATGTGAGTACCGGTCTTATTAAGGTTTTGTATATTTGGCATTTTGTTTTTCTGGAGACGTTATCTGATCTTAGTTGCCTAATTAAGCCATGGTAACATTTATTGGCAATAAATATTCTCCTCTTCACTTCCTCTGCAACGTTGTTATCAGACGTAACTAGGGATCCTAAGTATGTAAAGTTTTTTACCGCCTTAATGTTGTATTCTCCTATTGTTAAATTTGGCAGCTGCCTTATTTGTGCGTTTTTATTTGCAGGCATATATTTTGTTTTTGTCTGATTGATTTTAAGACCACTATTTCTTGCAGATCGTTCTATTTGAGTTAATGCCTCTATCATTTCTCTTCTTGATCTTGCGATTATGTCAACATCATCTGAAAATGCTAATACTTGCACGCTTTTATTAATTATTGTTCCTCGGGTATTAACTGTTGTGTCTCTTATTATATTTTCAAGTATAATGTTGAATAATATGCATCATAGAGCGTCTCCCTGGCGTAGTCCCTTCTTCACATCTATTGTTTCTGTTAATTCGTTTTGTATCCGGATTTTACTTTCTACTTTTAGTGTTTCTTTTATCAATTCTATTAGCTGTGTTGTTATATTAAATTCTTTCATTGCTTTTGTTAGGAATTCTCGGTTTATATTGTCATATGCGCTTTCGAAGTCTATGAAGAGATGATGTGTGTCGATTTTATATTCACTTGTTTTTTCAAGGATCTGTCGCAGAAGAAATATCTGGTCTATTGTTGACTTCTGTCTACAGAAGCCACATTGGTATTTGCCAACTATTTTTTCAGCGTATGGTCTAAGTCTTTCATACATTACGTTGGACATTATTTTGTATGCCGCATTCAACAGCTTGATTCCACGGTAGTTTTCACATTCTAACTGGTTTACTTTTTTATGTAGTGGTACCATAATGCCGCTATTCCACTCCTTTGGTAGCTGTTTATTCAACCATATCTTTCTTATCAGCTCATGTATGGCTTTAATAATTTTTATAATTATTAATCAAAGTAAAAAAATCGGTCAATATATGAGAAGGATTATTTTATGATCTGTTTCTTATTATGACTGCTCAGCGATGAGTTGGTGGTGAAAAATTTGTTGCTTCAGTGAAAATTTAAAAATAGACGATTTTTTTCGCATAGGATATTCCCTCCATTATTAATAAGGAACAATATGTAATACATTTGTTGTTGTTGTTTGTTTGTGTTTAAATGACTGCGGACACTAAATCCATTCGCCAATCTTACAATTTGAGGTGTAGTGTGTGTGTGTGTGTGTGTAGAGTAATTGTCTTGATACTTAGCAAAGTCGACGTCATTGTCTTTGCTAAGAGACGCTAATTGTATCCGAACGTCTGCGGTCCCTCCGGTGTGTACCGATCACACAAGGATAGAAATTATTTTCATTTATTAATTTTTTTAATAAACGAAAATTTCCACCCAGGTGGGATTCGAACTCACGACCTTTAGGTTTAAAGGCAGGCGCTCTTACCACTGAGCCACAGAGGGTTTGTGTAATACATTAAAATAAATATACTTTTTCAAAAACTATATTAAATCGATAAATAAATTGGGGGTAATATAAATATGTAAAAAAATTTATGAAAAATTTATATCCTACTTACCAATTGACCTTCGTATGAATAGAGGTAGATCTGTCAGCCTTTGGATTCCATGGGCACTTTTGCTCCCTTTCAGGAGCGCAAATAGCGTCATTTAAAGGCGAACGGTAAACGTATTTACTCATGTTGACAATTATGTTATTAATTCACGGAATTTAAGATACAATACTTAGAAACGATAAGATATCGTATTAGTTTCACGATCGAGTGTAATTTGAATGGTTTCAGATATCCTCTTTATATATACATTTTCTATAGGGAGAGTGGAGATAACGCATATATTTTACAGGTTGTCCCAAAATTTAATACTTGTCATCGACTGCACTAGGCTAAAATGTCTATTTAAATTATAATAATATGTAGATATTTGTTTAATTATTTTCCAGTTATTTTTTTACTTATAAAAGTAGATTTTAAATTTTTTGTTTCAACAGACAAATTTTAATTGATTTTTTTTTCAAAGAAAAGAAATTTTCTTTTTCCTATATAGATACGTTGTAGGTAGTAGATAAATGGACCTTTTGCGCTGGTAGACGTTTCAAAGACATGGGGTATCTTTTGTGTATACCTTAAATATATGTTTGTGATTTCGGATATGCTGTAGCGCCTTCTGATGAGCATCGTTTTAAGTTCGAATTTAACACGAGTCTTTTTTTATAAGTAATTAAATATTTTGTTTTTAAGGGTGAATTTTAAGTGTGTTTTTAGGAAATATTTTATAGCCTCTGCTTTTTATTAACCTACTTTTAATGTATCTTCAAAAAACCCTTAGATGAAGAGAAGAGGTAGGCATTAAAATTAACTGAAATAATGTCAACAATCTCAGATACGCAGACGACACAGAATTGATTACTTTTAATGAAAAAGTGTTGCAACGACTTATAAACAGGGTGACTAAATCATAATAACTTTGTTTGTCAGCAAAAAGGAGCTACAACCAAAGAACATCAGCGCTTACGGAATAAAGTTAGAAAGTGTTACCAATATAACCAATGTGGGAGTTAAATGTTAGTTAACCAAATTGAGATTTAAATAAATAAGAATGCGCATTGAAAAAGCCTTTAAACTAATGAAAATTCTTACTTTTTACACAGTAACCTAATTGAACTTTACCAAAGAAATTTGATAATTACAAGTTAATTGAATTTTCACACCCACACAATTGTACATCTAATTTCATTCATTGTCATACAACTGTCACCTTAAGAAAATTTTAATAAATAACACACATTTCGTGAATATATCTATTGAATAAACATAAATAACTTTTAAATAATTAAATAATACAGAACATCACTTTCATTTAACAAACAATCACATTAAACCTATTTTCTACTTCATTGGATAAAATCTATCTCCTCAAGAAACTGCCCCGTTGATTGTCAAACAATTACAATAGTAAAAACTGAAGATCTCCATTCAGCAATTACAAGATAGTTTGAAAGTTTGAACTATGTTCTCCCAAACATTAATTAATAGTGTACTGGCATGTAAGTAATGTTTTGTTTATTTACTAATTTATTACAATTTAATAGACTATTTTATACCAATTTATGGGTCTTACTTTGTCTGCTTAAACAATTTATTCAATAAAAAAACCACAGATATGTAATATTGGCATAATTACTGTAATTTATATTATTTATCTTTTGTTTATCTTTATAAGACAACACCCTCATATGGGTTTTATTATTTCAGCATTTAATTAACTTTGTATCGACAGACCTGAAGATGCTTTGCATATTGTAGAAAGCGAAACCGGTCGTCTAGATAGTTAAATTAAACTGATTGTGAGTAAGTTTTATTTATTATTTCTTTTACCTATTTAAAATGAACTCAGACAAGCAACATATTCATGATATTACATTAACTTTAAAGTCAGATTATTACGCTGCTACACATTCTCTACATTGCTATAACATGGAGCACTAGACCCTTACAGAGAAACTAATGAAACATTGGAGGCCTTTGAGATGTGGATCTGTTGACGAATATTAGGGATAAGTTGGGTTGATTGAATAAGAAATTAAATACACTGAATAAAAAATAGTAGAGAAATAAAAAAAACAATAAAAATTCAAAAGTTACAATATTTTGGTCATATAATGGACATTATATAGACATAGACGGTTCACTAGAATTTCCATCTTTTCTACTCGCTTCTCTTCGTATTTTTTACCAGTTCTTGTGAGTCTTGAGTTCTTAGTAATTTTTTTCTGGAAAGGGTAAATAGTCTTCCTCTTACCTGTTTATGTACCAACAAGCTGATGTAGAGTATCCACTGCTTCCTCCACTGAAATTGGAATCTAAAATAATTTGGAGCTTTTTGTCATTGTTGTCACTAATAGCCTTATCATAAAGCAATAGTACTTATAAAAATAACATTTTTATTCTTTTTATGAATATAGTTAACAACTGTGGTATTTTGCGTGAAGTAAAAAGATGAACTATGAACTTATTTATTCGCAATTTTTGCTGGAAGCTCTGGCTTATTTTTTCCCACCATTATATTTTTTCTTTTTAGAGAAGTTGTCCTAAATTGCATAAGGTAAAAAAGTTATCACAAGTAATATTATGGCCTTTTCAATCACTACACAAGTCGCACACCACACGCATTCCCTGATTCCGTTCCGGAGCGGCGCCTACTTCCTTTCCCGTATAGATCTGCAATTTTGGAGCATACAAACTTTTACTGCCACATGAAGCCCAAATTGTTATGCTATATTTCGCTGGTTTGCTTAGAATTTACTATTTGCAGGGACAGCGGTCTCTAAGGGCAACTAATTGCTTGTCACTAACACTTTCATCTAGGTTAAAAAATTTTGTTAGACTTTCTATCCATTATTCCCAAATTTCACGTATTGCAGCAAGTTTATCAGTACGTGTCCTATTCGTAAACTTTTATTGATTCGCCATGGGACTCAAAAACTCCAACTAATAATAAAAGATACTTATGTATGCTTGATGCTTAAATATGCTTGAAAACAAATTTGATCCAAGTCTTTCCAATTGTTTCCAAAAACATGCTGTCCTTCCATGTTCTTCATTTTGTAATTTGGTTTGCAACTATGTCAGAAAGAGTGCGTCAAATGAATTTTTGATATCAAAAATTCGTCCACATGCGTATCTTGTAACTCCTGGAGCATTATTTATAACATTGGCCGTGGAAAAACGACCGCGTTGATAAGGAGGATCGAGAGACGACCACTGGATATTACCGTCTTGTGAAGAAACTGTTACAGAAGGTTCTATAGGATGTTGTACGTAGAATGGGACAGCAGAATCGTCATTATTTTCTTCCTCACTCTCACTACTCGTATTGTTTTCTGTTTCTGATATGCACTCATTACTCTCTGACACGTTCGCGAGCTTCGCGAAGCTCATCTTCGGTTAGCGTTCTTCGATGCGACATTATCAACATGCAAACATAGACTAAAATTTGAAATATAAATGAATGCGCTTGGCATATCAGTGTCCTACCAGTCTACCACTTGTCTATCACCTCGACGTCCTTTTACGTGACATGCCTTTCTAAATGACATCGTCCAGCTATACTACACATTTTTTACAAGTTCTAGCTTTCAGAATCTTGTTTCTATTTATAGACATACCTGACTGACAAACTGTTAGAAAATATATGAAATACTGCCAACTAAACATACGTACACAGGTAATTTTTAACGGTTTAGTGTACACCTACATTGGAACCGTATTTCTCCCGATCCGACATCGAGCGACGTCGGACGACGCGACCTCGGTTTGAAAACAAACTCAAGGTCACGATACACGATCGCGCTGTCTCTCTCGCCGCACATGACGTCACGCACGAGGAAAATGTTCAATTATAATTTTATGAGATACATTACAATTTTATCAAATATAAAATTATGTCATCTGATTATTTGAATAAAACTGATTGTAAGATAAATAGTTGTACTATACTAAAACAATTTTTAATTGAAGGTGATTACTTGGCAACATCGTACTTAACGAAGCCCTTAACGATAACTTTTCAACGAAATCGTATTGAAATTATCAATTTTACAGAGGCGTACCAAAAAAAATTTTAATTATTTATTTAAACACATAAGTAATTACGTAAAAATTAAATCTAAGACCGATTTAATTATTAAATTATCATGTCTCTTTTAACAGGTATCTTATAGTTGTCTAACAAAATAAAATAAAATTTTATTCTTATTAGAGAGTATCTAATACAGAACTTCAAAAAACAGAAAACTTTGGAAAATATTTTTTTTTTCATTAGACTAAAAACAATCTGCAATTTTAATTACACATCATTACACATTATTCTCTATTTATAGAATTACTGTGTGCTGTAAACGTTATATTTGTTTTTTTTTACTTAATTTGAAAGTTTGCTTGTGTTTATTTGTTTATATAAATATGAAAATATATTATGAAGTTCATATAAATTAAAATGAAGTAAGGTAAAGTATTAATTATCATATGAATGCGTTTATATAGCAGTGCATTTGTTTATTTCAGTAAATTCTCGAAATATGAAATGAAGATGGCACTAACTATTAAAGAGTTAATAGCTTTGTTAGAAGAAGACTTAGATTGTGAAAATGCCACTTAATGTGGTTTATTTGCCGCCGAGATTAGATTAGAAAGTTTCTGATGTAGAAGACATTGATCTTCTTCTTCTTCTTCCTTCTAGTTTGTAGGCTTTAAAGCATGTTTCTTCTTCAATATTAGCTTCAATAACTAAATTGTTTAAATTGTCGCATCATCTTTTTCTTGGTCTGCCAATACTTCTTCGTCCATTTGGTGACTTATCTCGTGCTATTCGTACTATTCTATCCTCCGCAATTTTACTGATGTGTTTGTTTCACTTTTGTTTTTGTTTTGTCACCCATCCATTTATGTCTTCTATATTGCATGCTCTTCTTATGTTTTTGCTTCTCTCCCTATCCAACAATCTTCTCCTTGATATTCGTCGGAGTATTTTGATCTCTGTTGTTTCTAGCAGTCGTCTCGTTTTAGATGTCAGGTCTTGTCTCAGCCGTGTATGGTAATATAGGTCTAATTTCTGCTTTATAGACTCTTGTTTTCGTGTCTTGTCTTAGGTGTTTGTTCTTCCAGATTGTGTCATTAAGAGAACCCGCCGCTTTACTTGCTTTTAAGCTTTGCTGTCGTACTTCTTCTTCAACATCTCCGTAACTAGTTACATCTATTCCCAGATAT